GATGGAGTCTCACTCTGTCCCCCAGTTTGGAGTGCAGTGGTACAATCTCAGCTCACTGCAACCTCTGCTTCCCAGGTTCAAGCAATTCTCATGCCTCAGCCTCCGAGGTAGCTGGGATTACAGGCAAGTACCACCATACCCAGCTAATTTTAGTATTTATAGTAGAGACGGGGATTCACCATGTTGGCCAGGCTGGTCTCAAACTCATCACCTCAGGTGATCCTCCTACCTCCACCTTCCAAACTGCTTTGATTACAGGCATGAGCCACCGTGCCCCAGCACATCTGACTTTTGAGAGGAAGTCACTCAGGGGTGAAGAAAGGTTGTAAAGGGGGCCAAGAAGCCATGCAGACCCTAAAGCCCAGGCCTCCCTCACCTGGCCCCTGAGCCTAGGAAACCCAGGCAGCCCAGACCTGCACAAGCTACATTCCCTTCTCCAGTTAACTAAAGAGATTGGGTGTAAAGAGCCATACCAGGAAATTCCAGCCTAAGACAGGGTTGTTCTTGTCACTCTCTCCAGTTCCACAGGAGTTACAGGTGCCACATCTGGCTTATACCTTTGGGAATAAAGCAAATGATCCATCTATTAATGTCACTAGGAAATGACACCCTGGCCCCAAGATGAGCATCCCTAAACACCAAGGTATTCACAGAGCCAGCCCCCTTTCAGGTGGCTTGCTTTCAAGCCCAATGAGCCAGTTCTCACCACACCCTCCCTGGCAAGATGGAAGTGTAGAAATGAATAAATACAACTTGTACAACTAAAAGCTGCCCAGCATTTACCCAGGACTAGGGCACAGCTTATTATGACATTTATCTCACTGAATTTTCAGAAAATGCTCTGGGTAATAAATAGAGGTTCATGCCTGTAATCTCAGCACTTTGGGAGGCCAAGGTAGGTTGATTGATTGAGCTCAGGAGTTCAAGAACAACCTGGGCAACATTGCAAGATACCATCTCTTAAAAAAAAAAAAAAATTTAGCCAGGTGTGGTGGCACGTGGCCACAGACCCAGCTACTCGTGAGGCTGAAGTGGGAGGATCACTCCAGCCTAGGCGATGGAGGCTGCAGTAAGCTGAGATGGCGCCACTGCACTACAGTCTGGACAAAAGAGTGAGACCCTGTGTAAAAATAATGAAGGCTCCCAGTGAGGCATGAAGGAACTTCATGGACAGGCCTTGGGGTCCCCACCCAGGTCTCCCTGCCTTTACTCTCATCCCTAATATCCACCTTCCCCAGGGCAGCATGGATTGTTGTTATAAGCCAGAACTCAGCTGTGTATGGTGGATTGCACCTGTAATCCCAGCTACTTGGGAGGCTGAGGCAGGAGGATCTCTGGAAGCCAAGAGTTGGAGACCAGCCTGGGGAACATGGTGACACCTGTCTCTATAAAAAAAAAAATAAAAAGGCCAGGCACAGTGGCTCACACCTATAATCCCAGCACTCTGGGAAGCCAGGGCAGGCGGATCACCTGAGGTTGGGAGTTTAAGACCAGCCTGAACAACATGGAGAAACCCTGTCTCTACTCTAAATACAAAAATAGTCGGGTGTGGTGGTACATGCCTACAATCCTAGCTACTCGGGAGGCTGAGGCAGGAGAATCACTTGAACGCAGGAGGCAGAGGTTGCGAGCCGAGATTGCACCACTGCACTCCAGCCTGGGTGACAAGAGCAAAACTCTGTCTCAAAAAAAATACATATATAAAATGTCAGGCATGGTGGTGCACGCCTGTAATCCCAGCTACTTGGGAGGCTGAGGAACAAGAATCGCTTGAACCCAGGCGGTGATTGTTGCAGTGAGCTGAGATGATGCCACGGCACTCCAACCTGGTGACAGAGCAACACTTGAACTCAAAAAAAAAAAAAAAAAAAAAAAGTGTGTTGTTCCACTCCCTGAACCCTCAGGGACTAAATATCACTAAGCACAAAAACAGCAGTCAGTTTCACCTGCTCAACAAATTAAGAGCCAGGTCAGTAGAGGAGCATCTTGATTCAAACTCCGTCCTCCTCCTGAGGCTCTGCCTCTCCCATGGTGTCTCCAACAACCTGGCAAGCTGCAGGGAACGCAAAGGTGGGCATCCTTCTTCCATAAAAGGAAGCCGAACCAGGCGATCAGCACAGGCATTGGTGATAAGGAATGCTGAAGTCTATGCTACAAATGTGGCCTTCATAGCAGGGAGAACACTACAGGTGAGGCTGAAGGAATCCAGGTGATAGGTGACGTTAGGGGTCAACGTGACGGGGCAGGGATACCAGATGGCTGGTAAAGTGTTATTTCTGAGTGTGTGGCTGTGAGGGTGCTGCCATCCTCACCCCATGTGACTGGGCACCACCTAATCAGCAAAGGGTCCAGACACAAGAAAAAGTCAGAGAAATGATAAATTCATGTGATCTCTCTTCTGCAGCCAGGATGCCATCCTCTCCTGCCCCCTGGAAATCAGAACTCCAGGCTGTCTGGCCTCTGGACTCACCCCAGTCACTCCAGGTTCTCAGGCCTTTGGTTGTGGACTGAGAATTCCACCATCAGCTTCCCTGGGTCTGAGATCTTCGGACTTGGCCTGAGCCACGCTACCAGCTTCTCGGGTTCTTCAGCTTGCAGATGGCCTAGCATAGGACTTCTCTATAATCACATGATCTAGTTTCCCTAGTAGATCCCCTCTCACCCTCAATCCATCCACTCACCCATCATCTATCAATCATCCATCATCTATCCATCCACCTATCATGTATCCATCCACTATCTCTCCATCTATCATCTAACTATCATCTACCAGTCTATCATTTATCCATCCATCCTACTAGTTCTGTCTCCATGTAATAAACAGAGACCCCACCTCTGCCTGCCAATGACCTTCAACTGGGTCATGGATACGGGCCATTTCCGCACAATGCTCAGCCACGGAGCATTGTACGTCTCCCATGAGACAATTTATCTCATCACCTGGACCACCCAAACGGCCTCCCACCAGGATCACGAGGTCCTTTGCTGAGGTCCGAGTGGCTGGCACCATGGATGTCCCAGATTTCCACCCACCATCTGGGTCTGACCGAAGGCCTGTATCCTGGGCATCCCTGGAATAGAATGAGGAACTGAACCTGGGTCTGGGGATTGTCTCTGTATGGCCAAAAGGTCTGTGGAGAATCCAATGCACCAGGCTGGCTCCGTCACAGCTTACCATAGTAAGCTTACCCCAGAACAGGCAACAGAAACAAAAACAGCCACCCTACATCCCCCACGTCACTTGCAATTTCACGTTCCAGCTTGTCCGGGCTCAGGATGCGTCTTACATCCTTGTTTAATTGGCAGTTGTTTTTCTTTCTTACTGTTACACACAATGATAACATATCGTGCACCTGATGGTGTCTCAGATTTGAAGAGTTAAGGTATATGCAGTGGAGGCCCTGACCTGATTCCCAAAAGAATGACAGAGGTGGTGCAGGGGGGCACGCCTTACATAGGGGGCAGAGTCTAAAATCCAGTATAGCCAAAATCACCTGCAAATGAGGCTTCTTTGGCTGAATGAATGTGCATGGTCAACTGGGTGTGTTGGACAGAAACACTTCAAACAGCAGGAACACGCGGGATGCCAGATGCTTAGAGACAGAAAAAGTGAGCCTGACTCAAGGAGGGACAGTCACGTGCCATGGCAAACAGCATCAACTGTCTGCTTGGGCAGCGTTTATCTCTCTTTTCTTTTCTTGAGATGGAGTCTCACTCTGTCTCCCAGGCTGAAGTGCAGTGGTACCATCTTGGCTCACTGCAACTTCCGCTTCCTGGGATCAAGCGATTCTTCTGCCTCAGCCTCCTAAGTAGCTGTGATTACAGGCGCTCGCCACCGTACCCAGCTAACTTTTGTATTTTTAATAGAGATGGGGTTTCACCATGTTGGCCAGTCTAGTCTCAAACTCCTGACCTTGTGATCCACCCGTCTTGGCCTCCCAAAGGGCTGAGATTACAAACGTGAGGCACCATGTCCAGCTTTTCTCTTCTTTTCTACTCAGTTGTCTTAATGACTTTTGAGATTTTACCCCATTTGGCAGAAAAACAAACTGAGGCCCAGAGAAGCGAGAACCACAAAGCTAGTAACAAGCAGCACTGCCAGGGCCGCAGCCTGGATTCAGGCCACAGGCAGGAAGGAGGGAACTGGGGCATCCTAGAGGACAAGGAAACTCACACTTACTTCCTAGACTTGGCGCATTTCTTCTTCTGGTTCTTTACCAAAACAGGCATGACTTGTTCCCATGTGTCCTCCTTGTTTAAGGACCAGAGGCCACTGCTCTCCAGGGGCTGGTGGTAGCCCCGGATGATCAACCTGAGGCCAAGACACGAGGGAGTTAGGCAATGAGAGTCAGTGAGAAGAGGAGGATAGGGCTCACACACGCGTGCCGATGCTGCGCCCCTCCCCAGCACAGCTGCCTGCTGCAAACGAAGGCAGCCACACAGCTGGGGGTGTCTGAATGTGGCTAGACATTTGCACATATTACAAGGTTATTACAGCTCATTCTGTTGGGTCATAAAGGAAAAATGGCTTTCTTTTGGGGGGGGTGCATAGAAAAGTTTTAGGGGAAAAAAGATGATTTAAGAGGAAAATATCAAGATGGCTCTAATTCACTTTTTTATCATTCATTTATTTTTTTATTTTTTGGTTTTTTTGAGATGAAGTCTCGCTATGTCACCCAGGTTAGAGGGCAGTAGCGTGTTCTTGGCTCACTACAACCTCTGCCTCCTGGGTTCAAGCAATTCTCCTGCCTCAGCCTCCCAAGTCTGGGACTAAAGGCACACGCCACCACACCTGGCTAATTTTTTGTATTTTAGTAGAGACAGGGTTTCACCATGTTGCCCAGACTGGTCTCAAACTCCTGAGCTCAGGCAATCTGCCCCCTTGGCCTCCCAGAATGCTGGGATTACAGGCATGAGCCACCACGCTCAGCCTCATTCCTTTATTTATTTGGATGGAGTGCAGTGGCACAATCACGGCCCCCTGCAGCCTCCAGCTCCTGACCTAGAGTGATCCTCCCACCTCAGCCTCCCGAGTAGCTGGGACTTCAGGTGTGAGCCATTATGAGTGGCTAAATATTTTTTATGTTTTTATTTTTTTAGAGACAGAGTCTCCCTATGTTGCCCAGGCTGATCTTGAGCTCCTGGGCTCAAGCTATCCTCCCACCTTGGCCTCACGAAGTGCAGGGATTATAGGCGTGAGTCACCATGCCCCACCAACTTTTAAAAATTTTACAGTAAAAGAGGTTAATATGGGCCAGGACCAGTAGCTCATGCCTATAATCCTAGCACTTCAGGAGACCAAGGTGGGAGGACTTCGTGGGTTCGCAGTTCAAGACCAACCTGGGCAACGCTGGGTGACTAACTCTACAAAAAGTAAAAATAAAAAATATTACCCAGTCATAATGGCTCACACCTGTAGTCCCAGCTACTCAGGAGGCTGAGGTGGGAGGATTGCCCTAGGCCAGAAAGTGGAGGCTGCAGGGAGCCATGATCATGTCATTGCACTCCAGCCTGGGCAACAGAGCCAGACCCATTTAAAAAAAAAAAAAAAAAAAAAAACAGGTTGAGGGGGAAAAAAAAGGCTGACGTGACAAAGCATTAGCAATCTTGAAACCTGGGTGATAAGCTTATTGAGTTTTATTATATTAGTCTTTCTATGTGACTCCACCCAGGCTGGGTACAGTGGTGCAATCTCGGCTCATTGTAACCTCCGCCACCTGGGATCAAGTGGTTCTCCTGCCTCAACCTCCCAAGTAGCTGGGATTACAGGCACCTACCACCACACCCGGCTAATTTTTGTATTTTTAGTGGAAACAGGGTTTTACCACATGGGCCAGGCTTGTCTCAAACTCCTGATCTCAGGTAATCCACCCACCTTGGCCTCCCAAAGTGCTAAAATTATAGGTGTGAGCCACCGCACTCGGCAAACTGAACACTTTTGTAATAAAAAGTTAAACATTTTCATTTTTTGTTTTAAAATAATTTCAAATGTACAGAAAAATTACTCAAATCATACTAAGAATTCACTCAACTCACCACTATTAACATGTTGCCAAGTTTACAGTAATATTCTGTCTCTTATCCATTCACACACACACGTGCAAACACATCTTTTTCTAAACCATTCAAACAGTTAAAGGACTAGCACAGTGGCTTACACCTGTAATCCCAGCACCCTGGAAGGTTGAGGTGTGCGGATCACCTGAGGTCAGGGGTTTGAGACCAGCCTGGTCAACATGATGAAAACCCATCTCTACTAAAATAGAAAAATTAGCCAGGCATGGTGGTGCATGCCTATAATCCCCAGCTACTCAGGAGGCTGAGACAGGAGAATAGCTTAAACCCAGGAGGCAGAGGCTGCAGATCATGCCACTGCACTCCAGCCTGAACAACAGAGCAAGACTCTGTCTCCAAAAAAAAAAAAGTTAAGATTTAGGCTCTACATATCTTTACCCCTAAAAAACTAGGGGTATCCCCTTACAATCCAGGACACGCTCTTATGTAACTGGAGCACAATTTTCCAAAACAAGAATGAATGCTAATAAATTAGCATGCATCCGGTGTCCTGCAGTCATATACAAATTACGTCAACTGTCCCAGTGACACTCTTTAATAGTAATTTGAAGAAATTATTTAAAACATCTAATCTTTTAAAAAGATGTTTGTAAAAAGTTCATAAAGAGAAGAATGAGACCAGGCATGGTGGCTCATTCCTATAATCCCAGCACTCTGGGAGACTGAGGCAGAAGAATCACTTGAGCTCAGGAGTTGGAGACCAACTTGGGCAAGACGGTGAAACCCCATCTCTGCAAAAAATACAAAAATCTGTTGGGCATGTGTCTATAGTCCCAGCTATTTGGAAGGCTGAGGCAGGAGCATCACTTGAACCCAGCAGATCAAGATTGAAGTGAGCTATGATTGTGCCACTGCACACCAGCCTTAGAGACAGAGCGCAAGCCTGTCTCCAAGAAAACAAAAAGATGATGCATATTAGGGTGAAAGATTCTTCAAATAATCCCCAATAAGATGTTGACAATGGGCAGAAAAAGATGTACAAAAAGAAAACCACAAGGTGGCTAAGCATGGTGGCTCACATCTGTAAGCCCAGCACTTTGGGAGGCCAATGTGGGTGGATCACCTGAGGTCAGGAGTTCAAGACCAGCCTGGCCAACATGGCAAAACCCTGTCTCTACTAAAAATACAAAATTTAACCAGGCATGATGGTGCACGCCTGTAATCCTAGCTACCTGGGAGACTGAAGCAGGAGAATTGCTTGAACCCAGGAGGCAGAGGTTGTAGTGAGCTGAGATCGCGCCACTGCACTCCAGCCCTGGAGACAGAGGGAGACTCCATCTCAAAAAGAAAAGAAGACCAGAAGGAGGCATACTAAAATGGTGACAGTGGTTGCCTCTGGGTGTTTCTTTACTACTGATCTGGACATGTTTTTTTAACCCACATTGCCTATTGTGAGACAGTATTATTTTCCTAAGGAGTGGGGGACAGGAGGGGAACAATGTCAATAATAACTATACCTAATATTTAAAAAACCCAAATCTGTCAGGTTGAACACAATGTCTAGGCAAGAAATAAAAAATAAAAATAAAAACCCAAATCTGAAGCTAAAGCAAGAGCAGTCCAGTGTATGGCTGTCCTAGGCCAAGCCTCCTGCAAGATATTTAAGCTGCTGATGGCTCATGTGTTTATCACATTCAAGGTGATGGATTTGGGGGACAGAATTGGTGTCTCAGAGACCACCACATGGCCAGCACAGGCAGATTCAAGACAACTCTGCAGAAGAGCGAAGGAGAGAGAAGTCAAGCGGGGAGCTCGACATGTTTCTTTCTTTCTTTCATTTATTCATTCATTCATTCATTCCCCACCACCTTCCCGAGGTCTCTGGGGCCCAGCCTTACCCTGTGATCCACCAGAAGGTGATCCTGGACAGGAACGAGGCGCTGGACTCTGGGTAAGGATTCTAGTGTAAAGAAAGAACAGGTTAGGGAGGAAGAGGGAAAGGAATGATTCAACTTTTTATCCAGGCCAGAGCTTGGCAAGGAGTAGACAGCTGCCTATTCTTCCTTCAAGAGGACCAGTGTTGGCCTGGCGCGATCACTCACGCCTGTAATCCCAGCACTTTGGGAGGCAGAGGCAAGTGGATCACAAGGTCAAGAGATCGAGACCGTCCTGGCCAACATAGTGAAACCCCATCTCTACTAAAATATGAAAATTAGCTGGGTGTGCTGGCACATGTCTGTAGTCCCAGCTACTCAGGAGGCTGAGGCAGGAGAGAATTGCTTGAACCTGGGAGGCGGAGGCTGCAGTGAGCCGAGATCGTGCCACTGTACTCCAGCCTGGCGCCTGGCAACAGAGCAAGACTCTGTCTCAAAAAAAAAAAAAAAGGACCAGTGTCCGCTCCATACCATTATTCTGCACCCCAAAAGGATTCTCTCCTAAGCCCCAGGAGAAAGAAACTCACAGCAGCTCCTCTCATTTCACTGTTGAGTGTCTACCAGGCGCAACCACAATACAACAAGCTGTTGACTTGCCTTATCTTCTATCCCCACAGCAACTCTAGGAGCTGGTGTTACCATCATCCTCACTTCACTCATTCATTCAACAAATATTTTCTGAGCACCTACCATGTGCTAGGCACTCTACAAAGTACTACAGGGTTACCTTAGCTCCCCACGACAACCTCTGAAGCTGGTATTACTATTGTCCCCATTTTCCTCATTCAGGCATTGAATATTTATTGACCACCTACTATGAGCTACACACGCTACCAAAAACTTATATACTTTCATCATTTTATATCCTCATGGAATTCTATAAACATGGTATTACTATTATCTCCATTTCATTCATTCATCCAACGAATATTTCCTGAGCACCATCCATGTTCCGAGCACCATCCATGTTCCAAGCACCCTGCATACAAATCTAAACAAACAGAAATGACCCCTGCCTGTATGGAGCTTGCGGTCCACTGCAATAATCATCAGTAATACTTGCCAAGATTCTCTACTATTAATAGCTAGCTCTGTTCTAAGTGCTTTACACAAACTACTTTATTTAATCTTCATCCCCACCTCACAAGGTAGGTGAAAGTATTATATCATCACTGTTTTGCAGTTAAAAGAAACTGGGGACCAGAGATGAAATCATTTGTTCAAGGTCCCATAGCTAAAACTGGTGGAGACAGGATGTGAGCCCCAAAGAGTCAGGCTTCAGAGAGAGTGACATGCATCAAATGATCACACAAACAAATGCAAAACTGTGACTTCTGGGCCTTGATATGTGTCCTAAAGGTAGAGAAATATTACCAATCATAAAAAAGTCAGCACATGGGGGCTGACCTGGTATACCAAGGTCAGAGAAGCTCCCCCGAGGAAGACAGTCAAGCTGGCACCTGAAAGATGAGTAGAGGAGAACTAAGTAACGAGGAAAAGCAAGGCATTCCCAGCAGACAGCAGTGTGTGCAAAGGCCTCGTAGTAGAAGGAAGCATGGCAGGCTCTAGGAACCAAGAGGGGGCCTGAGCAGTCTACACTGAAGGTGGTGCACAGTCTACACTGCAGACCGCATATTTTGGTACTGATTCTAAGGGCAAGGGAAAGTACTGAGAGACTCTTAAGCAAGTTATCAAAGAACTTATTTCCCAGAGGCACGAAGGTGAGCCCCAACTCAACACACAGTAGGCAAGTAAAGGGATCGACACAGAGTCCTGGGATGACAGATCAAGCCTGGCTTTCAACTCAGATGCATTCGGGTCAAAATTCTGAAACACAAGCTTTAAGCAGGAGAGGGAAGAAAGGTCACCATGTAGCAATGCGAACTTTAGTCAAGGACTCCACTCCAATTTCCAGCCTTGTGTAGAGATAAGGCATTTACAGAGCCCGATAAGGCAGCATACTCTCCTCAAGTGGTTTTCCATCCAAGGCTAGGCATGCTTTTTAAAAAATACTGTATCCTGGCGGGGTGTGGTGGTTCATACCTGTAATCCCAGCACTTTGGGAGGCCAAGGCGAGCGGATCACTTGAGGTCAGGAATTGGAGACCAGCCTGGCCAATAGGGCAAAACCTCATTTCTACTAAAAATACAAAAATTAGCTGAGAGTGGTGGCTCACGACTGCAGTCCCAGCTACTCGGGAGGCTGGGGCAGAAGAATCACTTGAACCCAGAAGGCAGAGGCTGCAGTGAGCTGAGATCCCACCACTGCACTCCAGCCTGGGGACCCTGTCTGTCTCTGGACCCTATCCCCACCAGGGATTCTGATTAAGCTGGTTTGGGATGCAACTGGGGCACTGAAACTTTTTGTTTTAAACGTCCACACTCTCCTTGGAAAAGTGGCTGGGCAGGAAATATGCAAGATAAGCCAAGAACATCCTGTAACACTGGACAACAAGGAAACTAAGCATAAACAGGATTGTTAGAAGGCCCAAGAGCCAAGCAGAAGTGGCACAACAGGCTAAAAAAGGAACAATTTGAGCTTTGACAAGAAGAGTAAGTGCAACGAGCTGAAACGTACCATGTACACACACACACACACATTGTTTTTTGAGACTAAATCTTGCTTGTCTCCCAGGCTAGAGTGCAGTGGCATGATCTTGGCTCACTGCAATCTCTGTCTCCTGGGTTCAAGTGACCCTCCCGTATTGGCCTCCCAAGTAGCTGGGATTACAAGCATGAGCCAAGGCACTTGGCTAATTTTTGTATTTTTAGTAGAGGCAGGGTTTCACCCTGTTGGTAACCAAGCTGGTCTTCAATTTCTGACCTCAAGTGATCCATCCACCTCAGCCTCCCAAAGTGCTTGGATTACAGAAGTAAGCCACCGCGCCTGGCCAAAACCCTCCATTTTTCCTTACGGTTTTAATGATTAATTTCACATAATAATGTGAAAAGTAATGAGTCTCTAGTAGTCTTATCCCAAAGACCGGGGCCAATTATAAAGTACTACTTTGCTCAGTCCCATTTTCCTTCAAATCACCTATTTTGAGTAAATACACTAGTTTCATTTTCCACCCCTGTATAGGGGCAGTAAATACTACTAGGAAAAAAACCATAATTAGCACCAGTACAAATTCAAGGTTATCAACCTGAGTGTAAGCATTGCTTTGTAATTTTTTTTTTTACCTATCCCAGGTTACAGTCTCCTATTACCCCAAAATGAAATCTCAAATGTCCTCCATTCTGCATAAAACCCATGCTGGCCCCTCAGTGGAAAACATCAACCATGAATTATCGGTCTCTTCACTTTACCTTCACACCACAGATTTCTCTCACACTGACTCTGCTTATTACCATGTATGTCTAGCATTAGACTGGACTCCTACGGAAGAGGAACTCACATTCATTTCTCAGTCCTAAGGGCAAAACTCCAAAGTGTAATTAAGGAAAGAAATAACTCCAAGTCTTTCAAGTTCTGAATTCATGGTCCTCTAAAAAATGGCAGTGTATATTCAAGCTCTGCTTGTTTTCCTGATCCAGTTCTCCACCTTTGGGGGGGTCTTACAAAATAAGTCAGGAAGTCAGAAACATCTAGAGATTACTCCCACATGGTAATCTTTGCAAATAAAACTCTCAGACCTAACTTTATACTAATAAAAATTTCATTTTTTTTTTTTAAAGACAGGGTCTTGCTCTGTCACCCAGGCTGGAGCACAATTACAGCTCACTGCAACTTCATCTTCCTAAGCTCAAGCAATCCTCCCACCTCAGCCTCCCGAGTGCTGGCCACAGGCACAAGCCACCATGTGCAGCTAATTTTTTGTATAGATGGGGTTTCACCGTGTTGACCAGGCTGGTCTCAAACTTCTGGGCTCACAGGATCTGCCTGTCTCAGCCTCCCAAAGTGCTGGGATAACAGGCGTGAGCTACTGTTTCCAGCACCAACACCACATTTTAATTGAGGTGGTTGGATTGAAGGAAGAAGTGGGTACTCCATTTTCTTTTATTTCCCAGTCCTAAGGAGTTTTAAACACACTAATATTAAAGTTTAAATGCCCTAGAGCTGAAAAAGATATTTAAAAACTTGACAGTCTCACAGTATCTGCTATAAGTTGAAGAAAAATAATAAAATGCAAGGTGCTTAATATTTTAAAAGAATTTCAGTGAATTTTGCAACTGTAAAAATGAAATCAGAATGATCTGAGAAAAGATTTCAGAGATGAAAAGCATGATTTGCCAAATTTAAAACAGGAAGAGAAGCAGTAAGTAGCAGATGAAATATAACCAAATAAAAATTAGCAACATAAAAAAAGTCAGGAAATGAATTATCCTACAACTCGCATCAAAAGGACATAACAGATTAACAAGATGAAAGAAAAATGTTAGAAATATGCAGATCAAACTTATCAATACTATGCAGAGAAAGAAAAGTTTTTTGTTTTTTTTTTTTGTGACAAATTTGAGCATCGAGCATCTAGTACACTACAGCCATGACACAACAGAGAATAAGAGAGACATGGAATGTGTCTTCAAAACATCCACATTCTAGAACAAATGAAGCTGAAGTAGTAACCAAAGAAATTACTGAAGAAAACTATGCTGGCCGGGCGCGGTGGCTCAAGCCTGTAATCCCAGCACTTTGGGAGGCCGAGGCGGGTGGATCACGAGGTCAAGAAATCGAGACCATCCTGGTCAACATGGTGAAACCCCGTCTCTACTAAAAATACAAAAAAAAATTAGCTGGGCATGGTGGCGCGTGCCTGTAATCCCAGCTACTCAGGAGGCTGAGGCAGGAGAATTGCCTGAACCCAGGAGGCGGAGGTTGCAGTGAGCCGAGATCGCGCCATTGCACTCCAGCCTGGATAACAAGAGCGAAACTCCGTCTCAAAAAAAGAAAAAGAAAAAGAAAACTATGCTTATGACGAAAGGGAGTAGGAAGAGAAGGAAAGGAAAAAAATACACGTACACATTTTAAGTTTTAGCCAAGTTTAAGGCAAAGAGATTCTGATAGAATTTCAAAGATTTCAGAG